GTGTGTGTGTGTGTGTGTGTGTTTAGTCGGACCTCAGACTGGACAATCTTCAACACTATGCAAATAACACTTTCTTTCTTTGCGACAACCTTATTTACTTTTATGTTGTTGCAAGAACAATATTTGTATTTAATGTTTTGTGAAATTAAAGGAAACACTTCAGCTTTCTCTGGTTTTCTCATTAATGAGTGTTTATATTCAAGTCGTTACTAGATGCATCATAGTAGAGATGCCAACTAATGACCACCAATCTTCTTTTAATAGTGTTTACTTAAGATTAAACTAGAGCACAGTTGGAGAAAAGCATGTAGAGTGTGGGACGCAGGGATGTTGACAAGGATGCAAGCGATGGGGTTTCTAGACAGCTGATGGATGCATATAATATCACAAATGTAAATATATGCAGAAAGTACTGCGCATGAGCACTAGAGGTCGCTGCCGCGTCGCTTACTGTCTCCACTGACAGTAAAGTTGAATTCTTACATTTGCAATCATGTTTTTAATCCAGTATATCATGCAATATGAAGCTCAAACTGAAGTCTTGCAGGTTAGGGTTAGGGTTATTAAATAAAACGGTAAAATAATGAAATTCCTTCATTAATGTCTCATTTTTGACATACTTTACACAAAAATCAAACTAAAAAAATGTAGTGAGCTGCCCACTTCAAGAGAAAAGGCTAGAAAATGCTTTTATTAGACAGCTTGCTAGGTTTTTATGTTTAAGACGCATCCATCATATACTGAAGCAATGACTAGAGAATGAAGTGTTTTAATAATGTTTGTTTGACACAAGAAATATAGTGACATTACAACTGATCGGGTCATTTGATAAATATTCTTTAAAATTGTTTTCATCATTAGAATATTTATTTGTTTATTTATTTGACTACCAAACGTACTATAGGAGCATTTCAGCAGACTACTCCTTCATGACTTATATAGGATTTATAGTCATTTTCTAAATATTCTTTTCATATTTTTTGTCATCATTAGAATATTAATTTTATTTTAATTAATGTATATTTTATGAATACCAAACATACTATAGGAACATTTCACTAGACTGCTTCATGACATTAGAATTGATCCGGTCATTTTATCCTTTTTTATTATTACTATTATTATTATTATTTTACTGTTGAACATTTGTTAGAATGTTTATTTATTTTATTGCATCGTAGTAATTTAAAGTAATTTTGTGAATACCAAACGTACTGACAGAATTATATTGACATGAGGTCATTTTCTAAATATTTCTCTAAGTTTACTGTTTCCTTAAATTATTACTGTTGTCGTCATTAGAATATTAATTTATTAATATTTTGTTTGAGTTATTTAATGTAATTTTCTGGATACCAAACACACTGACAGAATTATATTGACATTAGATCTGGTCTAATTATTTTTGTCATTATTATTATTATTATTATTATTTAAAATTATTGTTGTCATCATTAGAATATTCATTTTACTGTAGATGTTTATTGTAATAAATTTATTGTAATTAAAAACACATTGACAAAATAATTTTGACATTAGGTCATTTCCAAATATTTATTTAAATTATTTTTGTCTTCATTAGAATATTTATTTATATATTTATATCTTGCTACCAACAATTATATTGACATTAGATCTGGTCATTTTCTAAATATTTATTTTAATTATTTTTGTCATTATTAATATTATTATTATTTTAAATCATTGTTGTCATCATTAGAATATATATATATTTGTTGTAATTTAATGTAATTTTCTGTAGAAAAAAAACATTGACAGAATAATTTTGACATTAGGCCATTTCTAAATATTTCTTTAAATTATTTTTGTCTTCATTAGAATATTTATTTATTTATTTCTTGATACCAAACGCACTGATAGAATTATTTTGACATTAGATCTGGTCATTTTCTAAATATTTATTTTAATAATTTTTCATCATCATTATTATTATTATTATTATTTAAAATTAGTGTTGTCTTTATTAGAATATTGATTTTATTGTAGTAATTTAATGTAATTTTCTGAAAACACACACACACACACCCTCACACACACACACTCACACACACACACACACTCACACTCACACACTCACTCACTCACTCACTCACTCACTCACTCACTCACACACACACACTGCCAGACGCATCTGAATGCACAAACATGCTGCTTTCATTAGGGGCCTCAGCTTTGATCTGCCTTTCAACTGTGTTTACTCATGTTATATTCCCTTAAACCACATGATTCTCATGCAGTTTTACTCTATTATGAAACTCATGGTTACACTTCATTTTAAGGTGTCCTTGTTACAGTGTGCTTATAACTTTAGGTACTGAGTAATATTAATTAACTACATGTACTTACTATATGCTTAGGCTTAGGATTAGGGTTTGATTTAGGGTTATTTGCATGCAATTATGCATAATTTATTGTTATTATAATAGTAAGTAAATGTGACATGTAACAAGCACACCTTAAAATAAAGTGCTACCAAACTCATCAGTACATCTGAGTCACTAAATCAAGCTTGTTTTGGTTCAGAAATGCCACTATGTGTGTGGTTTTAAAGGGTTTTTTCTAGTATAACTTGTAAATGAAGATGGTGGTTTATTGCATGCAGATTATTTAACCCGTCTGTCCTGCTAAACCTGCGTAATTAAAAACAAATCCAGAGCCGGTTTGCAGCTCAGTGTTTGATCGTCACATACTGCAGAAAACAAACCGTGTTTACTGTTCTGATGAATTTACAGGCTTTGAGAGTTTCTCACTGGATTTGCTTTACATTCGTGTGTTTTGCAAACCACTTTAGATCTGTTTTCAGTGTTCAGTCCTGATGTTTAGTATGCATCTTTCTGAAAAAGACAGCTGAGAAGGTTCATTTCTAAGCGTGTCTTATAGATCTCTGGCATGATTTCATGTATTTAATGTGCTGTATTGTATAGTTTGACTGATATTTTGAGATTGTCAATTGATGTTATGCTTTCAAATGTTGTATTTTAAGTAAATACTGTCTTCATGGAACATGATCTTAATATCCTAATGATTTTTAGCATAAAAAGAGAAATGTATAATTGTGACCCATACAATGTATTGTTGGCTATTGCTACAAATATCCCCCAGCGACTCAACACTGCTTCTGTGCTGCAGGGACACAGATAGTTACAAATAAACAACAAGTAACACACTGAATTAAATATGACATTTTGAAGTAGAAAGACTGAAATTGTATATTCTTGTAAAACATTGTCCAGTAATCTTTTCCTGCATTAATGTTGAGATGGTGACATCAGCAGAATTTGCAACACAATTATGTGCAACAATTTTATGTGCAACTTCAAGAAATCATGTTTACAGTGTATTAAAAAAATCTTATTTGGCATATTTGTCTCGTTTTGGAATCAAATATATAAACATTCTTAGAACAACATATTTGCTTACCTGATAACATTTCATTAAGTGAAAGGAAGATTCGTTTTCTTCGAAGATTGTTAAGTGAATGTTTTCATTGAATTCATACAGTAAATGCATATTTAAGTGAATTTATTGCTTTCAGATATATGCATCTGTATCTGATGCACGCCTGCTTATCAGATACATGTATTTTAAGAATATTTCTATAATTTTCACTGGGGAAAAAGACAAATATACGCACTATAGTCAGTGTTCCCACCCTTTAAACCCACAGAAACCTTCTGTCATGTTAAGAGTTTCATTCTTTAGTCCCTTTATGAAGCTGTTTTTATCTTGGGAACCCACAGTGCTGGTGATTTCAAGTTTTACTATCATCGTGTTGACGCACACACACACACACACACACACACACACACACACACACACACTCACTCACTCACATACATACATTCTCTCATTCTGACGGCACCCATTCACTGCAGAGCATCCATTGCTGAGACATTTCTCCAAATCTGATGAAGAAACAAAGTCATCTCGGATGGCCTGAGGATTTCCAGCAAATGTATTTTTGGCTGAACAATTCCTTTAATGTTATCTTCAGCAGACATATATAGGCCTGTCGCAATAATCAATATATCGACTTATTGCACAATATATGCACACGACCTCAATCATTTTTGGTGATGCAATATATTGTATATTTTTGTTAGAAAATGTTTATTTACTATTTATTCAAGTTTTTTTAAGGTATCTAATATTTTGATACTTGATTTCCGTGTTCTAAATATTCTTAAGTATTGAACGTTTGTTGTCATTTGAAAGTGTGTATAGGCCTTCTTGCATTATTATGTTTGTGATATTATGATTATATGTGACCTTGGAACACAAAACCAGTCATAATAGTCAGTGTTTTGAAATTGAGATTAAATGAATAAATAATCTTTCCATTGATGTATGGTTTGTTAGGATCGGACAATATTTGAAAATCTGGAATCTGAGGGTGCAAAAAAATCTAAATATTGAGAAAATCATCTTTAAAGTTGTTCAAATGAAGTTCTTAGCAATGCATATTACTAATCAAACATTAAGTTTTGATATATTTACAGTAGGAGATTTACAAAATATCTTCAAGGAACATGATCTTTACTTAATATCCTAATGATTTTTGGCATAAAAGAGAAATGTATAATTGTGACCCATACAATGTATTGTTGGCTATTGCTACAAATATCCCCCAGCGACTTAACACTGCTTTTGTGCTGCAGGGTCACATTTATTCAGTGGCATAAAATGGTCTTAAAATGACAATAATATCGCTTATCGCAATTATTTCTGGGGCAATATATCGCACAACACAAAAGTTGTTAACGTGACAGTCCTAGCCATATGTTTACATATGCACGTGATCACTGAACCCCAAACCTGCTGATTGTGGTGCATGCTGAGTTATGCATGTGTAGCTGTGAAGCTCACGGATGTCTCTGTCCCGTGTCTCAGGAAGCTGGTTTGGGTGGGTTTCCCCACAGCGGCTCCGCAGGAGTGAAGCTGGAGCAAATGATGGAGCATCTTCAGCGGCAGCAGCAGGCGCGTCTGGAGGTGGAGCACAAGGAGCGCAGGCTGCGTGAAGCTCACATCATGTACGCGCAGCAGCTCGCGGCTCAGCAGGCCGTTCTGGCTGCCGCTCGGGCTTCAGGGGCCGGGTTCATGAGCAGGGGCCTCGGCACTTCTGGGGCCGGACATCCGTCCCTTGTCTCCAATCAAAGCAGTTTGGACTCCGAACGCGACCGGGACTCGGATGATGATGATGGGATGATGGAGGGCGATGAAGGTAGCGAGGAAGATGAGCGGCCCTTCGGGAGCTTCTCGGGCCCCGGGGCCGCCGCAGATGCGCAGAGAGCTCTGTCACCCGGCGTCAGGGTCAAACAGGAGCCCGAGGACGATCTCTCACCCGTCGGGCGACCGTCTGTGTCTTCTCCTAACGGCCAAGCGGACTGGAGCTACGAGGATCACTTTAGAGCGGTAAGAGAGCTTGTGTTATCTTGTGCTTTCTCCCTTACTGTTGTATTTTTGACTTGTGTTTCAGGATAAGTATGTGACCCTGCAGCACAAAAGCAGTGTTGAGTCGCTGGGGTATATTTGTAGAAATAGCCAACAATACATTGTATGGGTCACAATTATACATTTTTCTTTTATGCCAAAAATCATTAGGATATTAAGTAAAGATCATGTTCCATGAAGATATTTTGTAAATGTCCTACCGTAAATATATCAAAACTTAATTTTTGATTAGTAATATGCATTGCTAAGGACTTCATTTGAACAACTTTAATTTTTTTTTTGCAAAGATTTTTTTGCACCCTCAAGATTCCAGATTTTCAAATAGTTGTATCTCAGCCAAATATTGTCCTATCCTAACAAACCAGCTTTCAGATGATGTATAAATCTCAATTTCAAAAAATTAGCTGGTTTTGTGCTCCAGGCTCACAGATTAAATCAAGATACATTTACTGGAGAAGCAAAATGACAAGATATGAAGTCTTGTTTAATGACGTGTATCAAAATGAAGTGAGTTTATAATTAAATCAAGAAAAATAAAACAAGAAAAATAAACTTAATTCAAAGAGAAAAACAAGTTTATTTTTCTGACCCCATAGGCGTTTTTCTTTTTGTATTATGCAAAAACTCATTTTCATTTGCATATAGTAAGAAAACGTATAAAAATGAAGCGAGTTTATACTTAAAACAAGAAAAATAAGAGAGGAAAATTAACTTAATTCAAGATAAAACAAGATTTTTTTTCTGACCTCATTTTCAGATATTTTTTTCTTGTTTTAAGCAAAAACTCACTTAATTTTCAGATATTTAAAAAAAAGTAGAGTTTATCCTTAAAACAAGGAAAATTAGAAGAAGTAAAAAACTTAATTCAAAGGGAAAACATTTTTTTTTTACCCCATTTGCAGATATTTTTTATGTTTTAAGCAAAAACTTACTTCATTTTCACGTAATTTTCACGTCTCGTTTTCGGCAAGAAAGAAATCTATCAAACTGAAGTGAGTTTAAAACAAGAAAATATCTGTCAGTTTTAAGCATGAACTCACTTTATTTCAATCCTTTTTTTTCTTCAGAAAATCAGACTTAATATTTTAAGTCATTTTGCTTCTAAAGCTTGTTTTCTGAAAAATATACCAAAATGAAGTGAGTTTGGGGTCAGAAAAATAATCTTGTTTCCCTTTGAATTTTAGTTTACTGACTGATATTATTTCTTGTTTTGAGCTTAAACTTATTTTAATGCATTTCAGTCGTTGCGCATCTAAAGTAAAAGTATGTGCATCTTAAAAATATTTATAGATACTTGAACCAGAAAACAAGACAAAAATACTCCGTACGAACATGACTTTTTGCAAGACATTCTGAAGCATTTGCATGTTTGTTAAATACGACATTGTTCAAATTAAATGTGAACTATTATCAATAGTAAATTAAACGGAAACGTTCTGCCACTTGCTCAAGTGAGAGAAGTTGAAGCTTTTGTAACATTTCCAACTTGACATGGATGCTTTTACTAGTTTGAATCCATTATTCTTATTCAAAAGCAGACGGACTTGTTCATATCTGGTGGCCTTCATTCATGTATTTGTTTGATCAGCATGTTTAGGAAGCTGGGCATGCTTTGATGGGTCAGTCGGTGGTCTGCAGGTTTCTGTGTGTGTTTGTGTTGGTTTGAGCTCCTCAGGAGAAACATCTGCTCCGTTCTGCTCTCCGTGTGAGTTCTGGCTCAGAGCCGGACACTTATTTGCTCTCTTAGGCTCCTGCCAAACGCTGAGTCGACTTTGGCAAGCGTCCAGGCCGTGCAAAGAGACATTTGGCCCAAATTTGTCAGCGGACGCGTGGGAGTGTTTGTGCATGTGTGTGTGGCGCGCTGTACAGTAGCTGCATGGTGGAAGTTTATTGATTTTGAAGGGAATGCTGCGTTATGAACGTCGTCATCTGACATGCAGCTGAATCTTAAACCTGAACTTCTAATGCAATGCATTCTTCAAATGCATCTTATGTGTTCCTATACATCAGACGCTTCTTGAAGCTTATTCTAGCGTGCAAGCACCTTTAACGTCATCATGCATTGCCGTTTGCAACCATTTTATGTTCATAATGTGACGTTTCAACTTGATTTTGCATGATATTTTCTTCTGAATAACATGCACTAATGAATCGATTGCAATAAGACTAGGCTTGGTGCAGTTATTAATGAACTGTCTGGTTGTGGTTATTTGATATAATCACAATTATTTGGAAAAAACACAATAATTGTGCAGTGTAGTTAACTAAAAATAAAAAACATAAAAACTTGAAATGAAATGTAACAACTTGATGTACTGAAATAACTAAACTGAAAACGGAAATAAAATTTAAAAAACTATGTAGAAATGTAAAAACAACAAAAATGAATGGCAGAAATACAATAAAACGGCTAAAACTCGAAGTAAAATTAACAAAAAAAGCAGAAAATAAAAATATTGAATTTAAATCAAAGCATTAACAAATCTGTAATAGTATCTCAATTATATTAAAATATTAAAACACGTTATTTTAATCATATTTTGTCACCCAAATCAGGGAAATTTAAAAGCTTTAATGTCAAAAATCTGTTATATTATATTATATTATATTATATTATTAATTATAAATATTTTTTCACAGCATTAAAGTAAATCATATGGGCTTATTTTATCTTATTAAAATTAATATATTTTAATATTAAATATATTAAATAGTATGGTATATAATATATAGTTAAATATATTAAAAAATAATAATATCATAAATATTATTGTAATAATAATATTGTAAAAAGTAAAATAAAAAATATAAAAAAATTTATATATATATTGTGCTTAAACTGCAAGTGACATGAAGAAAACAGAAAGAAATTGTTAATCACAATTATTTGTATGACAGTTAATCATCAGCAAAAAAGTTCCTGATCGTGACGGGCGTAAATAAGACGAGGGTCATGAATGGAGTGAGTTTGGGTTTCAGCAGGAGTTCTGTGGAGTGAAGCTCTGTCTCTCAAGAGCTCCACATCAAGAGCCGCTGATGTGATTAAAGGCCTGGAGCTTCTTATTTATAGAGACAACGTCCCAATATAGAGCAGCAGTGTGGAAACAGAGCGAGACAGACAGAGAGACATGCATCCTGCTTATGATATTGGGAGTCAGAATTATGATGCAGTGTGCTTCAGTTTAATTAGATGCATTGAACGATTGCATATTTCTTGTTTTGCCATGTCTTGAGGAATATGAGGAGCTTTTTAGCACAAGTGCAAGAAGTGAAGAGCAAATGATGCACGAGTGCAATTGATGTTTTAGACGCTGTTTTTATAATTTGTGTATCTCTTGCACATTTAAGTTTATATCTCACAATGCCTCAAAAGTTTGCGTCTTGCCATTCTGACTCATTTTCTCACAATTCTTTTTTTTTTGCAATTCTGAGTTTATATCTTTTCTAGACATTATATTCTGTGGCGGAAGTGAATCAACTAAATGAGTAATATTTTCTGGCCAAATTCATATGCGCTCAACAATTTACAGAATGCATGCAAAATAAATTGCACAGTAACCCTTAAAATCCTCCTATGACTAAAACCAGTTTGCGTCTGCAGCGATTCTTTAACTAACTAAATCCCACATTGTGCACATGTTGTTTTTCTCATAGATGCAATGATTCTAACTTATTAAAGGCAGCAGAGAGATTCTGATCTGAAGGATAAAGCGTGTTTGTTATAATTTCCGAACCCGGTGAAGTCAGGAAGAGGAAGTGCAGAGGGGGAAGGGAGTGAGACGCATCCGTCTCTGTCTTTTCTGTGTTCAGTCATTACGTGCATCCAGCAGTATATAATGACACCTCATCACGGCCGCCGGTCTCAGGTTGCGTGGTTTGGGGGAAGGTTGAGAGATGTTTTAATGCTATCTCTGTGCGTTTTAATGCTGCTGTAAATTTCTTCTAGATGTCGTGTCACATTCAGAGGTTCAGATGCTTGATTGATCGATCAGAAGACTGGAATACAGACCTAATCATTTGATTTACTGGTGTGTTCATGTTCAGGGCTTCACTCCAGTGTCCACATTTCTGATTATTATCAATGTTGAAAACAGTCGTGCTGCACAATATTTTTGTGGAAACCGTAATGCATTTTATTTTTCGGGATTCACAGATGAACAGAAAGCTCAAAAGAACAGAACATTAGAAATGTCTTGACTGTCACTTTTGATCAATTGAATATGTCCTTGCTGAATAAAAGTAATAAAAGTAGATCATTAAAAAAGAAAAAAGAAAAATCTTGCTGACCCCAAACTTGCAAGATATTGTGTATATATATATTATTTTATAATGTATACATTTAAAAAAGATATATATATTTTTGAAGAGTTTGCAGACTTGAATAGAAAATGTACTCTAGTTATCGATGTATTTTTATGTAAAATGCAGTTAATTTTTATCGTTACAGTGAAATATCCTCCTAGATGATAAACAATGCTCAGATTTTTAATCCAAGAGTGAAGGGATTCATCAGAAAGCACTTGTTTTCAGTCGATAATGGACTGTAGCAGGTAGCAAGAACACATTGTGTTCTCTTGAAGCCTGCATGACTAAAGCAGATAAAAAGAAGATATTTTGAGAAATGTCTCGGTGTTTTTTTATCCGAACAGTGAAAGTCAGTGTAGTTTGATTCCCAACATTGTTTTTATGTTCCACAGAAGAAAGAAAGCCATTCAGGTAGTGCTGGGCGGTATACCGGTTCATACCGAATACCGCTGTTTATTTTTGTTATGATATTAATTTTTAAAATACCGCAATACTGGTGTATGTCGCTTAAACAACGTTGGGAACGTGACACTGTTTGAAAGGGGTCCCTTTACACTGTTGCACTGTGGTGAGGGAACAGCTGTATGTGTTACTAAG